GGAAAGAGGAATGCACATTTCAATGCCCATACCTGTAGTGTGGAAAGGTGTGTCTGTCGAGACAATAGTGCTTTTTCTTGCTCTGAAGGATAGGCATTATACCGGTGTTCATACAGCCAATCCCGAAGAATCTGCACAGACTCCTTGGGCAAGTTACCGCGTCTCCTCCGTTTGCTCGAGCCAGCAGAAGAGGAAAGATCCAGTGGGACATCCATGGTGTCATCATCCTCTGTCTCACTGCCAGATATTGCAACTACACCTACAACAATAAAGAAGCAAGAACAGTCATTTCAGTTCAATAAACTTGCTTTTTTTCCCTCCCTCTCCCTCTCTCTTCCCCTTGGCTCAGACACTTTTTTTATTGTATTGGCTGATTTCAGTGTGAATCAAGCCACAGCCTCATGTTTCGAAGATGTGTACTATAGCTATAGCTTGTCAAGCTGTAGCTTCCCTGTCAATTGAATAAAAGTGGCACCAACAACTTGTTCCTTGAAGGATACTTCTCCAGATATCCTCACTTACTGGTTCCCTTAGCAACCTTTTATCTGATCACATACAGCAGATGACTTCCATTTGATGCTAAAGTCACACCAAATGTTGACCAGCAAAGGGTGGGGTATGCACTCAAGGCTAACCGTCTCATAGCTAGGCAAAAATGCTACTAGAAAAAGAATGTAAATACATACATTGAACCTTGGGTGTTTTAAATTATAGTTTAACATGCTGCTGCTTCTCGCTTGATGAGGGGTAACTTGTAGGTTTTATATGTTATCAGATCTTTCCAGAACTATTAATAGAAAAAACATGGTATAGGAAAAGAACAGAAAAGCAAGCTGTGGCTGGTTTTCCTGAAGCTTCACAGAAATTTACCCATTAAGTAGAAGTGTACAGAAAGGTTAGCACAAGTATCTAACTAGGATCACAGATAGGACAGAATTTTATTCTTCTGGAGAACATGCCCTACTTCAACTCCGTCCTGATTAGTTATGCTTTGAACCTCACTATTTTCTTCACATTTTGACTGGTTTACTTACTCAAATTTTGACATACATTTACAGAAAGGACTTCAAATTTACAGTCTGCACATCCTCCCATTGAACAAGGAATTTATTTTACTAATGCATTTAAAATAGATTTTGCAATTGATTCAGTAAACCCAGTACAGTGGAACCATAGTATATAAATAAACAAATATTTTTGATGACTGAACAAACAGTCATCAATTCTGCTCCTTCAGTAAAGTGTACAATATGACTGAGGAAGCAAAACAAATAGCACTGTAATCCCCAGAGGAAACCATGCTCTGGCTTTAAGTACTTTAATCCCAACAGAAATTTAAGGAATTTTACAAGCCATATATAAACCTAAATCACAGATGCCCCAGCTGCAATCAGTTTGGTGACTCTTGACTTGCAGTGGATTTGTTTCTGAAAAGCATTTTCTAGAAATTAACCAAGTGAGAACTGAACTTATATTTCCTTTGTTTGAACTTCCATCTTACTATAAAAAGAAGCCTGCACACTTAGAATTACTATCCAAGTTAAATGCCAAACAATACAGTCATATCTGAAGCTTTTCTATTTCACAGATAGCCTAAAGCTCTACATTAATGTTCATACTTAAAGATGGAGAGTGGGGGTTAGAGAGAAAACACTGAGTTTTCCAGCAGGAGTTTCATAAATGCACATGTAGGATTTTTGAGGTAGTATGATGCTCAGCTATGTTAAGTTTTTCTTTTTTGCCTTTTCATGGGCAAATTGTAATATTGTTAAATTTGAAAATATTCAAATTTATTCTGCATGTTTTCACGGGCAGATTGTTCATGCACTGTGAATAATTACAATTCATTCCATGATGGTTACTCAAGTAACTTGAATGGTATTGTTTCCAATCTCTGAATGGATGATTTATGTAACTAAACAACACTGAACTGTAGGTGTAACAGATGCATAACAATTTATACTGTGATGTTTAGTTACTTAAGTTACCCAGTTAGAAACATGAAATTAAAAAATCAAAAGTAAATTCTGAATTTTGACTTGATCCTTAACACAGACCCTATTTTTACAAGTCTTTGTTATCACCATTCCAAGTCTTTTTTCCTTTAAATCCATAGTAACTTCACACTGATTTTTTTTGCTTAGAAAATCAAATTGTAAATTTAATTTGCCATCACAATTAAGTCCTTCTACAAAGCAACTGGTAGTGGTAAGCAAAAAATTAGACTTACTAAAATTACTTCACAGGATTCACCTAACATTTTCCAGGTTGCTCCTATTGCTTCACAGAATGTATTAAGGGTTGCTGCACTGATTTTTAATTTTTTTAATGTTTTTTCGAAGTATACTAGGCTCTGGGGATCCTTATCAAATCAGAGACCTTGGGAAATAGAGAGGCAGATGGTGGAGACTGAAAACCAAGAACTAAGATAAGTCAATAAAACTGCTCAAAGGAGTAAAATTGTGTACGTAAGTGTTTGCAGAACCAAGCTCTACCAATGAAATCCCTTTGGCTCCCTCTCCTAAGCTCTAACAAAGAATTACAAATGCCTCCTGAAAGCATCTTGCTAACCAAAGCCTTGGTTTTTGAACTGTTCCTTGGCACCATCTAAAATTTTACATAAAAAAACTATCTGAAATTCAGAGGTCAAAAATGTTTTTGAAAGTGCTATCTTCTCATACTCCATTCCTTTTTTTTTAAAGTAAGAAGTTGTTTTTCAATGAAGTTGTCTTACTGTAACTCAGTAATAAAAGAAATGAAACCACACTAGACTCTGCTCTTTGATCTGCTTGCTCAGTGTGACATGGTCCCTCAATTAATAGGTTAGTGACACAAAACAAGTTTTGCTTAAACCGGAACAAACTGTATTACAACTTCTCATTGAAATGAGCATCAGCTTTCTAAACCTTTAGCAAACATCTCTAGAAAATGTACAGATAATGCAGCAACAGGAAGTGAAGGCTGCAGATCTCACTCCCCCAGTTGATAGTCTACTACAGCAGAAGCCACGTTGGTGCTGTCAAGGCTCTGTTTTCATTAGAACATTCCTGCTGATTACAAGCCAGCTTTGTTTTTTCTTCTTGTTAGTAATCAG